GGTGAACATAGGTGAAACATGAAGAGGCAATTAAAAATTTTGCAGGTGCGCTGGGATGATCAGTCCCAGTATCACCAAGGCTTAGAGAGCGTCTTCGTAGAGAGCGTCTTCGTTGGTAGACTCTCTGCCTTGCTACCACCCCCTGCCTTTTAATTTGTGACATTTCAGTAAAGGTATGAATTATAATTATCTTGCATGAGGTGGTGTCCTTTGGCACAGGCGTAGACACACACACACCAGACCCTCCTCCCTCTCTCACCTCCACGAAGGAAGCCGAGAGAGGAAAGGAGGGTGATCTTTGGCCACCTTCTTCCAGCAACCTTTCCCTAAAAAGGGATCCGGTCACCGGAGATGGCTCAACTTCTCTTCTCTATACACCTGACCTCTCCCCCGGATGGGGTGGAGAGGATGAAAGCTACCGGTGGACACGCATTTCGTGAATGCTATTCCAGAGGAGAGCACATCTATTTGCCTGTGCCAACTGGGCAACTGGGCTCCAAATTCCGCCTTGGCAAGGGGACACACAGCTTCTTCGAGAGAATCCTTTGGCGATGCGGGAATGGACAAGAAGACGTCAGGTGATGATCACACTTGGTAGCTGGATGCATCGAACACTTCCCTCTGCCTGGGGGCACCACAACGGACCAACTGCGTCTTATCCTAGGAATTCGTAGCGTGCAAGAAATCCCTGGGAGTTCTTCTTGAGTTGAACAGGATCCTTCCCTCGTTCCCCAGCTCATCAAAAGAAAAATTAAGGAAAAGAGTGCAAATGGCCTCGCTCTGAAACAATACGATCGTCTTTGGCGGCTGTCCTTGTGAGAAGAATTCCCTCGATCTCTACCGGACCATACCGAGAACTAGGCACAGTTTGCCTCAACATGACCCCCAAAACCCCCCCTCATGGAAGAAATCTCAGCGGGAACGCGGACACCCTGTTCTTCAAAACATCGAAATGAGGCACATTCACTTGAAAAGAAACTTATATGTCGGGTTCTGAGTCTTTCTATAATTTTGTATACATGTTTGTCCGCTTCTTCCGCGGATGAAACGGTGCCATCACCCACCAAGCGGCTGGCTGTGTGGGATGCAGCATGTTGAGATTCCAATCATGGCTGCAACCAAACGGCAACAGTATCATGCCTAGTGACCGGACGCAAGTGCGCCGCAAGTGCAACAAAGCCTACTGCATCAAAGCCCTCGCCTACTGCGTGTTGTTAGACCTTTTGGCCGAAGTGCGGCGCTGAATCCGCTGAACCCGAAATGTGGATGACCAAACACAATCCCTGTATGTGGGTGACAATTGTGATCTTGAGCCATGCAAATTGGAACTTTACTGGGTTTGTGGCGTTGAACAAATGCCGCGTGGCCACAAAAGTGGGTGGAAAAGCCCTTGAAAAGGACGCCATCAGCCTGAGGCTGCATAAGACACATCATCTGACATCCTGGAGTAAACCCAAGGCACAAGAGTCCAGCTATGATAAGTATTGTGGATGTCTTGTTTGATGGTCTTTTCTTGTCTTGGGACATTCAGTACATTCAGCATGGTTAATTGTTTTTTCGGAGAGATACTGGGAGCTTGGATGACCCTCCCACCACACCTCTTGCAAAGAACGGAACCCCCATGAACCCTTCGACCAGTCGGTTATTTAGCGAGAATTCACTGAGAGGTCGATCGAAATGTGGGCTCCAACCGCCCAACCAGGGTCTGGTCGTGTATCTTCTACCAAGGACCCCGCATGTCCCTGCTCCATCCGCGCGCGGATGAACCGCACACGCGACCTTTGGCACCCTGAATTGTAGGGCCAAGCTCAGCCAGGTTTTGCCGAGCTTAAGCCCGCCGCGATCCAACCTCCGCCGCCTGCCCGCTCTGCCAAGCCAGCTGTTCAGGACGATCAAGTGTGAATCTCGGCGATCACATGGATGTTCTTTTCCCGAAAGCATTGCGAAGGGTTCTTCCGGAAAATCCCTTGAACACTGACACTTCGACACTTACACTTACACACTGACACTTCTACCACAGTTGCACTACATACACTGACACTTCGACACTTACACTTACACTGACACTTCCACCACAGTGTAAGTGGAAGAGCGAAAGCATCCAAGTGCAAAGTATGCAAGTGTCAAAGTATGCAAGTGTAAGCATGCAAGTGATGGGTATGCAAGCATGCAGTGTAAGTATGCAAGTGATGGGTATGCAAGCACGCAGTGTAAGTATGCAAGTGATGGGTATGCAAGCATGCAGTGCAAGTATGCAAGTGATGGGTATGCAAGCATGCAATGAGTATGCAAGCATGCAATGAGTAGGCAAGTGTGAGTATGGAAAACTAGCACGGGAGATGTCCTAATGAGGAAAACTAGCACGGGAGATGTCCTAATGAAAAAACATTTCCCCACTTTATAAATTCTCTCTTAAAGGCGGAGGGTGGGACGAACAGCGTCAACCGAAAGTGCAACCCTCTGCGGAGATCGCGCGTGTCGAGTGCGCGAAATGCAGGCGAGAGTGCGATTTGTCCGGTCCGCGCGCATCCCTCTGCGGAGATCGTGCGTGTCGAGTGCGCGAAATGCAGGTGAGAGCACGATTCGTCCGGTGTGCGCGCGACCCTCTGCGGAGATCGTGCGCGTCGAGTGCGCGAAATGCGGGCGAGAGCGCCGCGCGCCGGGTGCCCGCGCAACCCTCTGCGGAGATCGTGCGTGTCGAGTGCGCGAAATGCAGGTGAGAGCGCGATTCGTCCGGTGTGCGCGCGACCCTTTGCGGAGATCGTGTGTGTCGAGTGCGCGAAATGCAGGCGAGAGCGCGATTCGTGAAATTACCGCGCAACCCTCTGCGGAGATCGTGCGTGTCGAGTGCGCGAAATGCAGGCGAGGGCGCGATTGGTGCAATTACCGCGCAACCCTCTGCGGAGATCGTGCGTGCCGAGTGCGCGAAATGCAGGCGAGAGCGCGATTCGTGTAGCAGCGGAGCAAGCCGTGGAGGTGGAAGCTGAGAACTGGGGACTTTGTAGTACAACTTTAGTACGCGGAGTAGCTGGGGAGCTGGAA